CCTGTGTGTGTGGGCGGGGTGGGGGGAGGGGTGACCTCATGGGAGCTGCCAGGGCCTGCCGCGGTGGCTCCTCCCATCCTGGAAAGACAGAAGGGCCGAAACTGGGCCAGGCCCACCCCCTGAGTTCCCTTCCCATCTCTCTCGGCCCCAGTGCCAGCTGACCCGACCCCGCTGGATGACAGACCAGAGGCTTGCCTGAACCCTGGGTGTCCGGCCTGCCCCCAAAATGAACACTCCTCCGGGGACCTGGGCTGGGGGGCGGGTGAAATGTTCTGGAGGCTCGTGTGAGGGCGACAGGGCCCCCAGCCAGAAGGGCACTCACGGACCCCCAGCGGTCCAGGCAGCCCGGGTGTCACCAGAGGGAGGACTCTGGAGCCTGCCCTGAGCTGGTGGCACCCAGCAAGGCCTCGGCACGGGGCAGAAACCCCGTGTCAGGGACGGAGGTTAGAAGCAGAGGTCTGGGCCGGACGGAGGAGGTTGAGATCCTGAGCTGTCACTGTCTGGCTGTGACCTGAACAAGTCGCCTTCCTGGCCGATCAGTGGGCTTCTGTGAGGACCCGAGAGATGAGGTCCGACAAGTGCCTGGCATGTAGTAGGCTCCTGATCCGTGTTAGTGAGGATGCAGCGGCGCTGAGGATGGTGGTGGTGACAGCATCGATCCCTCAGGCTAGAAGGTCCGCCCACAGTCAGATTCACCCTGGGAAAGGTGAGGGTGGGCAGGCCAACTGGGTAAGATGCTCGTTACAGCGCATTGCCTGATTCCCCACGGCTACGCTGCTGGTTTGGAGCTGGCGGGGGTAAAGGCCTTGGAGGGGCCTCGAGGGCTCTGATAAGCACAGGAAGTGTCTGTCAGGAGCCATCGCTGTTGGCCTGCAGGGACCTTCCCTGACTTGCGTCTTGAAGGCGCCGTGGGCCTTACACTTTAGCACAGGTTTGCATCAGAGGAGCTGATACAGGGCGCTGCACTGTTGCAGGTGCAGAAGTGCCCAGGTGCGAATGAAGATGCCGGGAGGACTGAGAGGAAGAGCAGCAGGGATCCTCCCAGAGGGCCTGGCACCGCGGCCCGAGTGAGTGGCCAGAGAGGAGGCGGGAGCAGCTTCGGCTCAGGAATTGCAGTCACTGCCACTCAGGAGCACGTGCTCTGTACCATGCCCCGTGCTGAGCACCTTCCCGCCGTTTCCCGTTTGCACCCTCGCATCGGCCCCGTGAGGCAGGGCTATCCCGGTGTTACAGGCCAGGCTGCTGAGACCCTGAGAGCGCCAGCCGCCTGCCCAGGTCACAGAGCTCGGAAACAGCGGGACTGCTTGGCTCCAAAGACGGGGCTCTTGGCTACTGTATGAGTTTCCCGTTGCTGCTGGAACAAATGACCACAAACCTAATGGCTTAAGACGGCGCAGATTTCTTCTCTGTGGTGGTGAAAGGTCTGCCGTGGATCTCACGGGGCTAACATCAAAGCGTTGGCAGGGCTGCCTTCCTTCTGGGGGGCGGAGGGAAAATGGACTTCCTTATCTTTCCTGGCATCTCAGGGCTTCTGGCATTCCTTGGCTTGTGGCCCCTACGTCTTCAACGCCAGCAGTGGGGTACTGAGTGCTTCCCAGCTCCCTCTGCGCCCACGGTCACATCTCCTCTGACTCTGGCCCTCCTGCTCCCTCTTCCACTTTTAAGGACCCTGGGATCACAATGGCTGAGCGGCCAAGCTGCGATTCAAGTCAGGGTCTGAATTCATTGTGTTTTAATAATTACCAATGCGACGCATGGGACTTTATACAATGACTTGTTCGTGCCCGTCTTCCCCTCCAAACGGTAGTTTCCATCAGGGGGAAGGAGCTGGGTCTGTTCTCTGCCAAAATAAACGCACAACAAAAATGTGCTGGATGTCTGAATCAGTAAATGAACCTAAACTCCATTCACTTCTGCAACCCACGTGCAGAAGGCCAGGGTGAGGAGCTAAGGAACTGAGGGAGACAGGGTATGGGATGAGGCCACAGGAAGAAGGTTGGTTTTGACTCTGAGGGCGTGGGTGGGTAGCTATGTATAGAAACGCATTACCATGGAAGCTTCTGCCGAAAGAGAGACTTTGGAGAGTCTGTGGTCTGTCTAAGGAGAGCTGCTTGGGGCATCCTTCCTGTTCTGATACAGGAAGCACAAAGCACAGGCCAGAGGTTGCCATGGTGACCGCAGGCCTGCTTCCCCAACCTGCTGGCGTTCCCACCAGCCTGCCTTCCCACCAGGAGTGCTCCCACCCATCAATTAATAACCTAATCATGTATGACAACAGTCACTCCAACCACCCAGGCAGCAGTCCTCTTGAAAAACAAACAGACTTCTCCAGGGACCTAAGCTACAGAGATGCTCACTAGACTCAGCCTGGGCCACCTGCTATACTCTAGCTTTCTGAATCCAGATTCTTCTCTCCCCGGCTTCTCTCTCTTGTTTTAAAGGCATGGGTTTGGGCAGAGCTGGGGACTGAAGCCGCAGGGGTTCCGGCGAAACAGACACTCGCGAAGGCACCATGTCGGATGCCTGCACCCTCAGCCCTGCAAGGCCCAGAGAACCGGATCCCCACCCCAACAGGCTCTGTGGTAAGGCCCCAGGCAGGGCCAACTGTACGTCTGCTGGTCTTCTGGCAAAGATGGCTTAATTTGTTACACCACGGCACCCAGGAAGACAAAGCAAAAGGGAAGACTTTCAAGTTTTGGCAGATTCAAGATGTTTGGAAACTGATGCCCTTCTCACGGGGAGATGGGTTCTAAGACCCCTCCCCTTGAATCTAGGTGGGCTCTGTGACTACGTGACCCGAAGAATAAAGTCGAGGCCACACTGTGCCAGTTGCCGAGTCCAGGTCTGAAGAGACGGGGAGCTCCCACGTCCTGTCTCTTGGCATATTGCTCTTAAAAACTTGGGTGCCCTGAGGGGAGGAGGCCCCAGTGGCCTCTGAGAGAGGCCCACATGGAGAGGAACCTAGACCCTGGCCCACAGCCCCCGCTGAGCCAGGATCAACTGGTTTCCCACATGTTGTGTGATCTTGGAAAAAGATCCCCAGCCGCAGCTGGGTCCTCTCAGCTGATGTTGCAAGGAGCAGAGATAAGCCGTCCCCACCAAACCCTGCCCACATCACAGATGCATGAGCAAAATAGATGAGGACTGTTATTTTAACCTCCCAACGTGGCTTTTTATGCAGTAATAGATGACCAGAACATAAGGAGTATTTTTCTCCAAAATCACTTATGGGCTTATCATGAGCACTGTATGCATTCATAAGGTTACTTGATTTTAATTTTTGCAACGTATCTGCTTTTATTTATTTTAGAGAAAGAGAGGAAGAGGGAGAGATAGACACATGAATGAGAAACATCATCAATTGTCTGCCTCCTGCACGCAGTTTCCTACTAGGGATTGAGCCGGAAACCCAGACATATGCCCTGACCAGGTACCGAACTGGCGACCTTCTGATACATGGGTCGACACTCAATCACTGAGCCACACTGGCTGGGTGATTTTAATTTTTATAACAACTTTGTGGGGTGGGTATAATAATCTCCCTTTCCCCCACAAGATACTCAGAGGTAAGGTATCCTGTTTGAGATAGAAAGGATGAAACCAGTTTCCACTCTTTGTTTCCTGTTAGATGAGTCTTCTCTCCTTACAGTGCACTGTACCCAGAAGGCGGCAGCATAATGGAAACATCAAGAACACTCATAGTTAACTTTTAGGGGCCACTGCAAGGCTTTTATAGTATCAGCATGATGTCATGACCATCCTAGGAAGCAGGCTCTACTATCATGCCCATTTCACAGAAGGTGACACTGAGGCTTAAGAAGAGGGTAGGTGATGATCTCCAGTTAGTATCTCTAATAAGTGGAAGAGCCAAGATTTGGACCCAAGCCCTTCAGTTCTGGAACTGAGCTCTCAACAGATGCGCTGGTCCGTGCAGTCTAGTGCAGCCGCACTGCTCCAGCCCCGCTTCCGCTGGGACACTCAGTCCTTGCCCTCCTGCCTCCTTTTGGAGGCTGAAGGGGGGAGGGCAGGGTTAAGCAAAGCATAACCATGTCATCTCAGATTCGTACAGTTCAAACCAGTCTCACTCCTTTTGCCCTCACAAGCCCTCTGTGAGGTGGCCAAGCTAGTATTTATCTCCATTTACAGAGGCTCAGCCACAGCAAGTGACCTGCCCAAAGCCACTGGCTCCGTCAGTGGTCTCTCCTTTGCCCACCCCTGATCGCAAAGAGCCTCGCTGTGCCCTTTCACACCGCATCGCTGTGTTCAGCTTAGGGGGCCTGCCAACCAGGGACCCCAGCGGCCAATCACAGCCCAGCTTTGTCCTCC